TGTTTTTTATTATTTTGAAGTGTACCTAACCGTAGTCTAAAAATCTTTAAAAAAAACTTCAAAAGCTGGAAACACACTTGTGGCTTTTGGGTTGCAAGCGTCCATACGCGGCGGTGCCACGTAGTCAGTACAGCCTATTCGCAGTTTCTTTTTTTTCTCTCCTATGACGTTACATCATCTAAGGTCCAGGTGTATATAATGAGTTTCCTACTTATTTATCTATTTGAAATTAATTATTTAGTGACATAAGTGACGTAGACATGACATAAGTTACGTTACTAGTACTTTTGATGCGGTTTTGGACTGAACAACTGGCAACCCGTCTGTCTTTGTGTATTATTAGGTATCTTATAGATAATACCTATACTGTTTGGCTCGATCTCACTCGGCGGCGATCTGTACCGTCTAGAGGACACGGCTCCCGTGTCCGATTAATTTTCACCTTTAAAAAAAAGGACACCTGGTTACCCGGCTGCTGTACCCGGTACTGTAAGTATTTTCAACTCATATTCATTAAAAAAATTACTCGTACAATAATTAACCGTTTTATTATAGTGTCCCGATTATTTCGAAAAAAAAATTGAATGCTGAGTTTAAATTTTGCATAGATGTAAAATTTGTTTCTGAGAACTAATGTTTATCAAATATTTGTAAAACTTTTTAAATTAAATAGGTACCTAAAATGCTTTTTTATGATTATGTTGTTATGCTATTTAAGACGGTTTATTTTTTAATTGTAAGTGTATCATCTATGGTATTAACGACATGTCGAACTTTGAGCATTTTTTCATACATATAAATTATATTTTTTTATCATATATGCAAGATGTGATCTCTATCTCTACGCAGCTCGCGCATGCTCCGCGCAGATAGGCATTGGAAATCGCAATCATATTAATCATATGATTCTAAAATCATTTCATCACACCTGTGACTCAACTACAAAACCACTGTTATTGCGACGCTAGCGCCAACTAGCGTGCAGTTGCAGTCGTCGCATCGGGAACTCGTCCATCGGGCGTGCCTGAGAGAGAGCGTCATAGCGCGGCAAATGAGTGTGACAGAGATAAATATATTTATAAATCGGTCGTTCACTTCGTTCGTTCGTTCGTGTTGCCGACCTAGTGGATTTTCCACTAAAAGTGATGGTTTCGACCCCCCTGCAAGTGGCAAAATATTGCTTTTAGCATAGAGCAACACGGTAGGGAGTAGCCATATACAAGAGTTCCCCTCTGCAAAAGCAAAGTATAAGTCCACACGGTCATATGCGTACAATAACAGTAGTTACGGGCGCCGAGAGGACGACAGTAGCCGCGCTACAAAAATGCCGAATCGTTCAGTTTTTTGCTTCTAAAAGAGATCTGCCACGTCAAGTTTACAAAAAGATGGCGTTACCTTTCATATGTAGGTAACTTTCAATCAAATTATTTCTATATACTAATTTTTAAACTTAAAATTTACGAACATAACATTTGTATTGTTTTGGTTTGTTTACTAATACACGCCGCGCGATCTCGTTCAATATTCGGATCGGTCGATCCCAGTGTCGTTTTGCTAATCGCTATCACCGAGCGATAGTGTTGTTACCACTTTGTAAATAGTTAGATATCGATAAAACAAATACATCCATGTCTCTCGTGCGTATTATCATTGTTGAGGTAATGTTTTCTGATATAATTAATATAATTATGTGGATTGTGAGCTTTATTTTGATATACTTTAATATTAAAATTGCGTCCAATTAAATATAATACAATTTCTAAGAATATTAACACAATATATTAAAATTAACTACGACCACATTGTTTTATATTTATTTATTGCAGGTTTCCTAAAGATCCGAGTTTAATCGTTATCACGTAGAACTTTTATAAAAACTCATATTTTACCTGGATACCTACAAGAAACGGTGTCATTTGCTTAGATTATTTTAAACCCTATGACTTTTAAGCATTGGCGATCAATAGAAGGATGTCAAGTTCTTAACGAAAAAGCTAAGACACAGACATGTATTCGAAATATTTTTACAAAATTAAAATCTTGTAGTAACAAATAAAGTCCTATTTATATTAATATCCACCCTTTTATCACTTTTTAAACCTGATTTCCCTAACCGACTTCTCGAATTAATCGATATTGCGTATCGATATTTGATGTTGTTTGACACCATGTTAATGTAGTGCGTCTCTTCATTACACTGTTATTACACAGAATGTGTATATATGAGTGTGTGTAAAATTGTGAATGAGTCACTGTCACTACGGAACTCACACATAACAATTAAAACAAATTGTCATGTGTGAGTTCCGTAGTGACAGCCAATTGTTTTTGTATAGGAGTCCGAGAATGTGTGCGTGTTGAGGTTTCCCCCGCAATAAATGACAGACTATTTTGTATCGCGAAAAGACGCTATGGCTACTCCTCTCCGGTTCGTAGGTGGCCTGTGTTGCTCTATGGGCTTATTTCGTAAAGTCCAACTTTTGAAATCATTTTTTTTTAGTATGTAAAAAGGCTAATAGGTTTTATTTTAATTGTTTGTATTTTAAAAGTAGTTTATATCTACAATTGTCCGTGTAGTCACGGATTAAGAATACGAATTGTCACCACCCCCAATCATCCCGTGGATGTCGTAAGAGCCGACTAAAGGAGCAAACTATGCAGGACAACAATACTGCAAAGAGAAGGAAACACGACACAAACCCTATAGCAACCCTTCTGGACAGCGTGGTATAGTAGGCCAAAACCTCCTTTCTAAAGAGAGGCCTATGTATCGCAGTGGACTGTTAAAGGCTGTTGATCATGATGACTATATTTAAATATTAACACAACAAATTAAAAAAAAAAACGTTAAAAAAGAAACGTTGCTTGAAGTTTTATTTAAGATAGTAAATAATTGTATGAAATCTTTTTTACATTGAATCTATTTGTATGTAAATATTTTAGTTGCATTATAAGCCATGTATTAATCCGTGTTGAAAGTTCTATGTACCTCTTTTTAAACAAGTAAACATATCTCAGTATGTTTCTTTTACATTACAATGAAGCCTAGATTTAATTAAAATATCATCCTACTGAAAAAAGTAATTAGTCTCATTGAAAACTAAAAAAGAAAAGTAAGAAAAAAAAACATAACATTTAAATTCAAAATTGCATTAGTTGAACGTAGATGCTGAATGTCTGTATGAACATTTTATCTAAGCCCACTGACCTCTATAGTACTAGTACGCTGGACTTTTATTTCTGTGGAGGAACGGGTGTCATGTCGCTCCAACACAAAGGGAGGATCCTCCGACCAGGCGAGGTGATCATGCCTGGCGGGCCACGGCCCAACGGTTGATGTTGGGAAGTTGTATATATGCTAATCGGCGAGGGAATTCTTTATATCGCGATACAGGATTAGCAATTCTTACTTTAGTAGTTACTCCGTAGTTCGGTGTGTCTTCATTAGATGGCGCTGTAGTATGTTTATGTGGGAGTCGCCACATTTCTATAAGAAATGACAGTTGTTTTTGTTCCACTTTGAAAGTCCCGAGTATCTCAGGTATTCAGGACTTCCTAAGAATAAATATTATAATTTATAAAATTAAATTTTAAATAACTGCAAAGAGTAAACATCGTTTTTACTTTGGCATATTTTTATGCCGAATACTAACAAAACTTTTACTACCGATGATCAACAAAAAATAAAATGACAAGTTTGGCTATTGTCTCTGACGCAGCACGCGTGATAGGTGGATGACGGGTTTTTTTTCTGGAAGAGGGGGCAAATGAGCAGATGGATCGCCTGATGGAAAGTGACTACTGCCGCCTATGAACGCCTGTGTCAGAATCAAACTCAGGAGTCACCAGCGCATTGCCAGCCTTTGAGAAAGGAGTACGCTCTTTTCTTGAAGGTTCGGTTTCGGTCTGGAAATACCGCAGAGGATAACCTGTTCAACAGATTGGTTGTGCGAGGCAAAAAGTGTCGTTTATGCACTTGTTGACAATTTATTTTGATATCTTTTTATGTTTACTTTGAGTATGTTAAGAAAAAATTATGAGATTTCTGCAAATATAAAGAGAAATTGTTATATTACGTCATGTTCAGACGAAAAGCGTTTGGTTTATCTTGTGAATAAACAATATTCTATAGTTTTTTAGTATTGCTATCCTCCAATAAAATCTACAATATGAATAACTTTAAGTTCTTTTAAATGCAGGATTCAAAAAATTTGTATCTAACTAATTCCTAATTCCTAATTTTAGCTGCTATATAAATCAGTTTAACTTAAGTCATACTGGGATTTTACTCAGAATAAGAAACCAACGTCCATACAAAGTACACATCTCCTTTCTTTACTGAGTAGTTTTTATGGTTGTGCCTTTAAAAGTCATTAATTGAAAATCAATTCAAATTACCAATAACTTTTTTTAAAAAGGTTAATATGCTGACACAAAAGTCGCTCTTATTGAGCAGTCTTTAATAGGTTTACATGATTTATCCTTAGAATTCACTTTTTGGTAGATACGAAGTTAGGGGCTAATTTACAAATAGCAAATAGTACATGGCTTTTTTTTCTTTGATCAAACAAAAACCACAAAGTTTCGATAGAAACTACCTTTTTAATTTGTTAATAGAGTGAAGTAAACTTCCAGTGAATAAGGTTACATTTTAATGATTATTAAAAATTATTGTTTATAAAAGTTGATTTCTTAACCGTCAACATAGTTTTAATACTCGTAGTTGGGTCAAATTTTCTTTATTCCTCGTAAGTATAGTACAAAGTAATACAAAGAAAAAAATGACACCAAGCATATATATCGATGATGATGCAATACTTTTTTATCGCAAGTTATGTCTCATCCCTAATTTTAGTTCCACGGAGGTTTACACTGTTATTGGCTCCAAAATCAAAAGACTTCGGTTTCATAACGACGAATGCAGTCCAGCGTTCATACAAAGTAGAGGTCAGTGGTAAGACCCTTTTACAACTTCTTAACTCATTCGGTTAATATCTTTCATGCAGATGGCTGACCACCCAATCAACTTACTAGACATACCTCTCCCCGAGGGGGAAAATCCAGCAAATACTAACGTTGTCTGGCCGCCGTTACCTGCGGAAGATATGCTTCTGCCCCCTCCGATTCCTGATAATATACAAGACGTGCCTGATGATCCAGACGAGCCTGAAGAGCCTGATGAACCTGAGGAGCCTGAAAATCCAGACGAGTCTGAAGAGGCAGACGATTCAGACCGGCCAGACGAGCCGACGATATTCGTAGGAGGGCCTGATAATTTATTACCCACCAATGGGCCCCGCAAGCGTCCTGTATGTGGTGTACCGTTCACTTTCATGTATGAGGGTGACAGACAAGATGTAAGAATATTTTTTTTCTTGCCAAATTAAATAATATTGTATTTTACTTAAATCTCAAGAGTCTGAGCCACTGTACAACAGATGTGCCACTATAAATATATAATCTGTAGCAATACCATCTGTTGAAATAATCTCTTAAGTCCTCATTAATTTATGCCTTCTTACAGGCTCTTGATTTCCAAAGCCGAAGATTTGATAATCCGGATTTGGTAGTTGGATTTGACCTCAACCGCCCTGAAGAGGCATTAAGGTTATTTGAAGCAGCGAGAGAGCGTCATTTAGGTAAGTAATTGTAATCACAAGTAAAATTTTAACAAAAAAAAACCGACTTCAATGGTTTTCTCATGGATTCCATGGTCAGAACTAGACCAAATTGAAATGGGACCACACGGGAAGCACCAGCTTTCCAATAAAAAAAGAATCATCAAAATCGGTTCACCCAGTCGAAAGTTATGAGGTAACAAACATAAAAAAAAATACAGTCGAATTGAGAACCTCCTCCTTTTTTGAAGTCGGTTAATAAAATACTTAAAGGCATTGAGATATCGTATTTTTATCCTTAAATTTAAGAATAAACAAATAAGGTACAAGCGCCGTATGAGCTTAGGTAAACACCTTGTTTAAATAAGTAGTGGTTAATAATGAAACATTTTCAATAGACACGTAATTATCATCGCAATCGCTAAATATCATCTTTTTAAAACATAGTCATTGCGCCATCTTGCTAACCTACTGTCCCAAGAAAGCCCGTTATGTATTAATAACAATCTATGTAATATAAAGACTAGCAACATTTTTTTATTTTACAAAATATATTTAGTATGCGGTTAATATTTTTTTTTCCATTTCTTTCAATAAACTGCCAATGCGTTGGCAAAGATGAGTCGATTGCACTTCGAATAACAGAAATAAAGTTCAGAAAAAATAAGTACTTTCACTTATTGCATACAAAACGGCAATTTCATAGGTAAAGACAATAAAAATTTAGTATTTTAATTTAAAAGGCAAGATTTTTTTAAAGATTTAAAGAACTTATTTGAGAAGTAAAAAAAATACCAAAGTTTTTATAGTTCAATGTAGGTTAGCTTTGATTTTTAGGGTTTCGTACCCAAAAGGTAAAACGGGACCCTATTACTAAAAACTCCGCTGTCCGTCCCTCCGTCTGTCACCAGGCTATACCTCATGAACCGTTATAGTTATACAGTTGAAATTTTCACAGAATATGTATTTCTGTTGCCGCTATAACAACAAATACTAAAAACAGAACACAATAAATATTTAAATGGGGCTCCCATACAACAGGCATGATTTTTTTTCCGTTTTTATAGATAATGGTACGGAACCCTTCGTGAGCGAGTCCGACTCGCACTTGGCTGGTTTTTAGTTTTATATTACTTACTTTGTTCATCATCATCATCGTTCTGTTTGTTTCTTTCATGGCTGGTCGCCCACCTAAAGCCAGCCTTGGGCTTGGCAATGTAACAGATGGAGATAAAAGACGAGGGAGCCTACATTAAGGGATAGTGATGTTTTGGGTTAGCAGGTTGAAGTTATTGGAGTCGCTTGACCATATTTATAAAGAAACACTGACTGGCCATATTCATAAGGGCCATATTCATATTTGTTTGCGAACACACATTTTAAACCAATTTTTTTTCTTTGTATTCTTTAGATCGTCGTCGGCGTGCTTTGAACAGGTTCGATTCGTCTAGTAGTAGTAGTGATAGTAGTAGTAGTAGTAGTAGTAGTAGCAGCAGCAGCAGCGACGAAGATGATGAGTCCGATAAGAGCAACGATCCATCAAGAGATTCCTTTACAAGTCACTATGCCTCAAAAACAGATGACCGACCTGACAAAAAGGATGAAAATAAACAAAAATAAACAATTTACAACTGAAATGTAAGTAACTACTGTTATAACACGACACACACACACACACACACACACGCGCGTACACGCACACCTCTATCATGATCTCGTCTTTTTCATGATATGAAATACAAACGAGCAGACGGGTCACCTCATATTAAGAACCTACCGCCTTCCATGGACACCTTCAACTCAAGTGTGTTGTCGCCCTTTGAATCCTCCCTCAAGAACCAAAGGGAGGAGGGGTTTAGGCTGTAATCTCACTCATTAAGTGAAAAGCAATGGAAAAACTGTTTAAAGATCGGTTTTTTTGTGAGGCCGTGGAATCACTCCGTTCGAGGCGGCTCAATCGTGCCCAAGCTTTGCTCTCCCACGGCAGAGATGTCTGAGATCTCTTTTGCAAGAAGTTTTTCTCTTCTTATGATTGTTTGGTACATAGATATTTTATTTTTGGTAAAGAAATATACTGTACAAAAGATGTGTTGTAGCCACGAGTACATTATAATATTAACCGTTACAGTCTGATTTTTAATAACTTGGGTAACTTTGAATTAATCGTATGATTACTGTCTGATAGTATGTACTTCAGCCTATTGCCATCCACGGCTGAACGAAGGCCTCCCCCAAAGAGCGCCAGCCATCCCGGTCTTTGTCTTGTACTGTTAATATAGATTTCATATCTAAGAACAAGAGTTGCCATAAAAAAAACCGAATGCCAAAAAGGAAGTGTTTTCGTACTAACTTTTTTTTGTTACAGGTTAAAGGTGCTTCAACACACCTGCATATTTGTGTATCAATGTTTAGTATCTATGTCTGTTGTGCTATCTACATGTGTATGGTTGAATTTGTAAAACATTTTCATTAATTATTATTTATTGAAGTAAGATAATGTGATCTATAATCTATGAACTGTATCTAATTTGATACTCTGTTGAGTTGCGCTGTTATGTATCGCGTCGTTTCACGTCGCAATTTCCTCTTAAATGAAATTGATTATTATTTTTAAAGAAACGGCCAAAATTTTGAACAATTGACTATTTTCGAAATGTCAAAAAATAAAATGACTGAATAATTAAAGTATAAATATACGATTTTAATTAGCTACTGTTACCAGCAGAGCTGTTGACAATTATACTGGGAGGACATGACGCGCCTTGTGTACATGAACTAAAACAGCTCATAAAGGCTTTGAACAGTATAGGCTAAACGGGCCTTCAAGACCCCATTTGGTATCATACACGTAGTTTATATACTCGTACAGTTAGGATACGTTGGCATTTGCCGTGTTGCCATATAAGTGTATTTTAAGGTTGGGACAGACAGTAGGTGGGAAGGGATGGCGTCGCACTTTATTAAGCACTGGAGCGATTTAGGTTAACTGTCATCGAATTCCATGTGAGGACACGAAGAATAGAAAGAAAACAGGCCTACGCTGAATTTGGTGAATTATTTGACAAGCAAGTTGCTGTGATGAATCGAAGGTTAAATTCTCCCCGGTTTTTCCTCTTCGCCTTTGTCAAACAAACGTCAATATTTTTTTATTTATTACATATCCACAGAGAGTTTTAAGACTAAACAAAATTTAATATCTTACGTCTTTTGTAAGCTTTAATTAAAGTTAACTAAACTATATCGAATAATATCTATAGGTTTCTGACGTCTTTATTTAAATAGAATATACTATTAGTTTTTAAAAAGACATATACTATTAGTTTTTTTAGTACCTATTAGTTTCATTTAGTACCTATTAAATATTTATAAAAATTTAGGGCATTTTTAGAATATTCAAAATTTGTATGCATCTTTATTAAGTAAACCTACCTTTTATTATAACTACATATACCTATACCTAATGTTTAAAAAACAATGATAAAAATAGAATGTTTTAAACATTACATGTTTTCCTTCGGTAAGGTTGTTGATCTCTTACACGTTTATAACGTGAAAATAAGAACTAATTAAATTGTGATATGGTGAGAAAATGTGTCAGTTTCAGGTGGGTCCCATTTTGTTTTGATTTCATTTATTTTTTCTGTGCGGCGATCCCCTCAGATACCACACACTGAAAAAACGCACGCCCCTCTCGGGTACCAGTAGCTAGGGAACCAGGTGTAACCTTGGAAGGAAATCCATTTACGGCATGTAGATGACCCCCTCGTTTGTGGGAACCACTTGTTTCCATTCTACAACGCGACTCCATAGTGTGACTCTCCGCCAAAGCGGCCTGCTTATGCTAGGCCCAGGCTTGCGCTTATGGAGGACGCAGGTCGTTCAGCGACCATTCCCGGACCTGGCAGACCGGAAGAGTTCCAAATATCTCCCGGTCCCGCTCCGCAGTTTTCTTGGCAAGCATTCCTTGCTCACAGAAGGAAACGGCGGATTTCCACGCGCTTTCGCTTCGTGCCATGGCCACAATCATGGTACTAATCGAAAGAATGCCCCCACGTGGGGGCGTGGGTCTGCTCAACCCACGCCGGGCATTCTGCCAGCTTGTGGCCATCGCAGTGGTGACACTCAAGTGTTGGCTCCTTGCTGATCAGACACAGGTGATCCCTAAAGCCACCTTTCCCGGTGATCACCTGCGTCAGCAGGTATGAGAGGGTCTCGTGATGCCTCTCGAGCCAATCGTGTGGTAGGAGGTCCCCATGTGTATTTTAATTTGAGCAATGTCTTACCAATAATAATAAAACAAAATTAAAGAAAACATACATCACTTATTGATTGGTTATATTATTGTTTAGCTAACATTACCCGAACCTTACCTATATTTATTTCTATGCATTTAATGTATTTAAAACCAAAATTAATTTTACGAATTCTATGTAATGAATGTCTTTTTATTAAATAAAAATGAATTAGGTGTAAATGGCACGTACGAATATTGTATTTTTTTAATTAGATTTAGATTTGATGCTGTGTGTGCTATTTCTTTGACAGCCCAAATGGAAGTCTCGGTGTTATTTCTTTTTTGTGAAATTTCACTTTGAATTTTTGTAACGGTAAATAATTGTGTAGGTACGTATAAACATTATATAACAACGTTTAATCTTATTAGATTAAGTACTACATGTATATGTATGTATTAGTGTTACTCTAAGTTTTCTTTGCTGTCATGAATTTTGTTGACCCTTAGGATGCAGGGGTCTGATATACTAGATACATTACGATTATTGAAAGTACCTACTTTATTTTATTTACAAATTGTATTTAACAATCAATTTATACTTAAATTTTACATAGAAGTTTATTAAGGTATATTTTTTATTCCGATTTTTAAACTGTTTAGCCGTTGACACCAAAAAAGGAGTCCAGTACCATTTTTTTTTTGTCAAACAATGTTTATTTCGTCTATAAAAAATATTTGAGTAGTCATAGATCACTCCTGACTCCACGAACCTTACCGCTTTTTTGTATACGAGGTTAAGCATATTTATTCGCAATTACAGTAATAATCAATGTCTGATATAGATTATGGATACAGGAACATTTTGCAATGAATTTATAACAAGTGTCGGAAATCAGGGCAAAATGTATTAAAATTCTGTATTAAAAAAAACTATGATATTTTATTTCTCTACCACCCTAAGTAAGATCAAAGAAGTCGGCTCTGCGGAACCTTTTTTCTTTCTTTTTTTGTTCCGTGCGGAAATCCCCTCGGATACCACCGTGGTGGCATGTCAGACTCGAACCGACTAAAACCGCACGCCGTCTCGGGTACTAATAGCCGGGGAACCATTTATACCCTAGAAAGGAAGTCCCTGGTGCCCAGACATACCTCGGGCCATCTACAACAAGTAGACGACCCCCCCCCTTCCGAGCTCTGCGTAACCTATGAATTACATGAATAGGACATTACTGTCCTATCTAATATGTACCGTTGGTCTTTCTGCTCCCGGTTGAGGGTCTTTGCATCCAATCTTATCTTGCGGTAATAATATCGGTGCAGGAACAAAATTAGAAGCCTTTCCTGGTCAATCCTGGCGTAGATTAGGTTCCGCTACTTATCCTCACATTCAAATAAGTCGCTTTTTATCAACAAAGTACGAACATTGACTGCACGGATGGCGTAGTGGAAATGTCACTTCCCATGGTGCAAATAATTGCACTGATTTCCACTGAAACGAACCGGTTCGGTTCAGTTCTGTCGTTTCGTTTAGTGTCAATAAAATTACTTACCAGATCTTTTAAATGAAGTGAGAAAAATAATTGATAGTGGCTTAGTCCTCGGACTTTGATAAGGGTTATAAGGGTCCAGGTAGGTTGAGTTGTTAGATATTGATGAGCAAAAAGTATGTGCTATATAACAAATTTGCCCTACTGTACCGATATACTATGTGACAAGTCAATAACAAAGTGAGAGTTAGTGTGGTACCAATTGAAAGCTTTTTTGGAAAAGACTTTAGTCTTTTAACAAGTGCAAAAATGTCTATAAAATGTTAGATGTTTTTAAATTAAGTTCTTTAAACACTACAAATAAAAAGAGGATGTGGATTAAAAGCAATTGTATAGAACCAGTACGATTAAAAATAAAAACCTATTACACTAGACATTTTGTTCGACATCATATGCGCATTCTCTAATAGTTATTTTTTATTTAAGAAAATAAAAAAATACATTTAGAGTAAAAATTATGCATATATCTACAATAAATTACGAAAAGTTAATAATACTAAAATATGTTTCCGAATTGTTAGCTTGATTATCAAATCGAAGAACGGAACGAAACGAAATGTCAGTGTCATCTTGGGTACTGTTTCGTGTTATTTCGGCTTTAATATGCTTTATAACACAAACAAAAAGACTGCTCGCTTGCATAGTTTATAGTGTTTTTTAGTCAGATTTTGCAACTGGTGGTTTCTCTGCTATGTTCACTAAGCTGACAGACCAGACTTAGAACAGATAGTGCTAAAGATCACTGGTATGCAATCAGCTACTGGCTTTGCAGTGGAAGGGACTGGTACCCTAGGATTTAACCTTAAATAAATCCAGCAATTTTTTTTAATTTTGTCCTA